CGCTATGCTTGGATCAAATGTATCCAAAGGCTCAATACCACCAGCCCCATGGAGGTCTTCTCCGGCTTCAAAGAGCGTTGTTTCAATTACTGTGCGCGTGCTTGTCGTATCCGACCCATATTCAACCGCGCTTCATGATGTTTACTAGATACTTCTACAGTATCATGTCAACCCTTCCTACACAGATCCGAAGGCGCGTTCGAATTCTTGCGAGATGTTGTCGTATTGCTGCTTTGTCCTGAGATAAACAGAGTTATCACGGCCACCCGTTTCACTCTCAGCATCTACTACCTGCGCATATGACCTCTTAAGGAGGTCAACAGCTTTTATTCTCGTTTCCATATATTCCAACGCATGGAACTCTGAGTTCCCATTGCTCTGACGAGCCTCCCCATTCTCCACGCTTACAGTTCCATAACCACCCACCTGCCCCTCCGAATGTTTTTGGCGATCATTGTCCCCATGGCCACTGATACAATCAGTTAGGCCCTTGATATGGTCGCAAAGAAACCTAGTGTCTTCGCAAACGATCTTCTTTCGCCTCTTTGCCCCTGTACCACTTCCGTCCTCCCGGCTAGAACTCCCGGGAGACTGCTGAGCTCCCGGGACCCGATCCACCCCACCTCCGGCCTCGTCAAATCCAGCGCCGTGGGGAATTATTCTCAGTGTGAGGCCCAACATCCCGTCGACACGCGCTCCCGGAATATCCGTCCCCACCCGCATTACTATAAACATTATCACAGACCTCTTCGACCCCGCATACAAATCCCCGTGCCCATTCCCCTGCACGAAGTCTAGAAAGCGAGATAGAGTACCGTTATGCTGTCCAGATTTTTCAAAGTTATTGTGCGCAATAGTGTATGGCCCACGCATGTCGTACCACAATTTTTTAGCTTTCCGCCCAGGACAGAGATTGTAGGAGCCACAGAAGGGTCAATGTCGCCAACCGGTGCCCCTCTCATGTCCGCATGGGGCGTGACGCTCGTGTCGTTAAAGCGCTCAGCGACTGTCTGCCAGTAGTCTTCCCGGCTGACTCGGTTTTGCTGTTGTTCCTTAGTCAACGGCTGACCTGTTCCGGCATGCGCCAGTCGAGCTTGATCGTCATCTCGCAATATGAGGCACAGCCCGGCGAACATTGACATTGTGAAGTCCGCCGTGCCGTTCCCATTTCCCATCCCTCCGTACCCCGAATCACCACCATCCCCACCATCTCCTGGCACTAGCTCCCCATCTACCATCATTTGGCGTCTTCTTTCCGCCTCGGCCTCACATTCACGCCAATGGTCCCTCTCGGCCGGTCTGAAAGTGGACATTAATTCCACATCCGAGGGCACGGGCCTCAATGCATCAATCGCTACCCGTTTATCCCGCACCCAAGATGAGAAATTCTTGAACAAAGGCCTGCTTGCGCCTTCGACTTGGGAAAACACATCTGCAGCCGTTTTTCCCCGGCGTAGACATAGGCGAAAATAAAGAAATGCGCGAGCCACTCGCTCCGTCTTTGTACCACCCACCTTCCGCCTCCATATTCTCAACAGCTTTCGAAGGACGATATCAGTATGAGATAACAAAAAGTTGTACCCAAATTGCAAGGATTCGCTTGCAGACAGAGCTAAATGTGTGCCGTTTTCGTCCGAATACTGTGGGTATACCTCCCCACGAGGGTTACCTGGGTCTATCCTGTCCTCAACGTGTTCATTTTGCCCTGAGCTCGGAGCTGGCGCGAGTCGCACTGCGCCAGCTGGAGTCTCTTGCGAGTTCATGTCACTGAATCTCGGTGCTGCGCGGGGGGTTACAGTAGCAGAAGGTGTTCATACTGGGAATGGTGTGAGCGGAGGTAACGGTTGGCTTGCAATATCGGCGGCAAACGCGGCGTCCAAGGATCGCGAAAGGGACCCCGCGTCGCAGAGGGTAGGTGGAAGATTGGGGAGACGAGCCGCAGATCCGGGATGATTTCGCGGGCTGCGGCGGGGATGGATCGATACGACCATGGAGGGAGGGAAAAGGGTGGTTGCGATTGTTCAGGGAGTTGGGAATTGTGGTGGATGGGGGGCTTTTGCGGTGGCGGGGTGGGCTTTTGCAAGGGCGGGGTGGGATAGTGCGCATCCAGATCTCGTTTTCGAATTTTGCCTTAGCTGCGAGCATTTTGCTTTTGGTGCGTGTCTTCCGCCATTTTTTGAATTTTGGAAGAGCGAAATGGGGGCCAATGGAAAGTGCTTGAAAGAGTGCCGTGCTGTGTGCCTGGCGTCTCGTTGTAAAAGATAGAGAGCTGTAAAGGCCGCCGATCGAATTTATTGAACTGGCGTGGGGCCAATGAGAGAACAGGGAGGCGTGCACACACGCCCACGCACGGAGGTTAAGAAAGGCCCTGATGTTCACGCAGTAATCGTGATTCACCCAAAATCACGAAATTTCACGCTCCGCCAGCGTGATCAAAAATCATCACGCAGCTTGCATGGGGATAGGCGATGCCAAGTAGACGGAACACGTGTTGACAACGTAGAAATGGGCCGTGTTGAAATTTCGTAATGATTCGGACATCGAGAGGAGCACAATCTCTGACAACCTCGCCAAACCTCTTATTGCACCCATTAGACGTCTTGCATGTCCCGCTTCCCGTTCATTGCTTACCTTGACGCCCATCTTTGCGCCCCCTCCCCGCCTCCTCTCTTATGGCATGAAGCGTCCGCGTCCGTCCTTCATCACCACGCCGCTCCACCGACGGCCGCCGCATCCAATTTCCGCTACCCGCTCCCCGACGGCCGCCATGCGCCCCGTCCCGGGTTTCCGCGCCCTCCCTCCCTTCGACGCGCTCCTGCTGGACCAGTTCGGCGTCATCCACGACGGCCGCACGCCGTACCCGCGCGCGTTGTCCGCTATACGGCGCCTGCACTCAGCGGGCACCAAGATCCTCATCCTTTCCAACTCGTCGCGCGAGGCGCACCACGCGCGCCGCAAGCTGGCTGCCATGGGCGTGTGCACCGACGCCATCCACGCCGTCATCACATCAGGCGAGCTCGCGCTGCAGGCCGTCTCTGACGCCATGCGCCACGCACCGGCGAGCCGGGTGCTGCATATCAACTGGGGGGAGACCCGCGGCACCATCTCGAGCGAGAGGCACGGTATTCGACAGTTTCCCGTCATGAAAAGCGTTCCGGAAGGCCTGCTGCCGGATCCAGCCGACGTCGATCTTATCGTTGCACACGGTACGGACGGAATCATGACGTCCGCTACGTCGCTGCAGCCGTTGTCTATTGACATATTGACAAGGTTGTGTCGTGAGGTGGCCCGCGTGCGACCCGACGTGCCTTTTTATTGCGCTAACCCTGACTTTGTCACGGTGGATGGGGGCGCCCTGCGCATCATGCCAGGACAGCTGGCGAGGGAGTTTGAGAGGGGCGGGGGCAGGAACGTCATCAGGCTGGGAAAGCCCGGCCGGAGCGTGTACGAGAAAGCAAGGGAGATTCTAGGAGGAGCGAGCGTGTTGGCCGTGGGGGATAGCCTCGCACATGATGTGCTGGGCGCCGCCGAGGCGGGCGTTGAAAGCATGTAAGTGATACCTTGAACGTTCTGCTTGGGTGATAGCGAGTATGATCGCCGAGATACTGACTTGTTTATTGTATTTGTTGGTGTATTTTAGGTATATTGCGGGCGGCATTAACGCGAACAAGTTTGGCATTCAGCCAAGCGATGGTTTTAAGGACGAGGATTGTGCGTGGGATTGGAACGAGGGGGCTTTTGAAACGTTGAAGAAGGATGACGCGCCAGAGTTGGGGGAGCGGAATCCGACGTACGTGTGCCCGTTTTTTCGATGGTGAAGAAGGGAGATCACGCTTAATGTAGCGCCGCCTTATCTTCCTACTTGCGAAAGCGGTATCCTATAGAAGACTACGCCTTTGTAAACTGTTTAAAACATTTTTAATTGTGACTGTATAAATGTACCATTCCTACTTGTGAGGATCATCACCACACTCTCTACGATGGCTGTCATGATTGCACTTTGTTTATAGAAGTATATTCGCAACGTTCAAGTGATACCAGGTACAACCTGACATGGCGCCGCAGTGTGGAAGCCCACTCAATTCTAGGAGGGGGCATACGAATGGTCTCCTCAAGCGCCGAATCACAATTCGGGGCATTGTCGGTACCCGCAGCGAATACACACGACACAACGAAGGCTTGGTTCATGTTGATTATCGATGGAATGAAGCGGGATGAATAGTTCAAGAATAGCAAAGGAACGGTATAGTGAAATGGAACAATATGCCCCGTTCCTACTCTAAAAAGAGGCACAGCTCAAGAATTAGAGACTGGTACTTGTTTAGCATGTAGAAGGACAGAAAGACCGGGCAAATTCAATCAGAGCGAAACGATTTCAACATGAACAAGATATGACAGATAAGAGAAGGCAAGGTTTGCGATACATTTCGAAAGTGTGTATGGCTTTCTATTGACCGAGACTACTTTCTGCTCCATAGAATCTTTGTCTCTTTTATGGTCCATCTGGACAACGTCATTCTCTGCAGTAAAGAATCTAGTGTGTTCCTCTCTGCGCTGACCCCACCAGAAAACTGATAATGCATCCCTTGGAAGTACGGTGGACGCTTGCCTGGAGGCAGGATGGCACCTCTGTCGCTCAAGAGAGAATGAGTGGGACGATGAGGGGCAAATAGTTCTGTCCTCCAATGAGCTTTTCCATGCAAAATTTATCACCCAATAGAGATCGCGCATCAACCCATCCGATGGGCCGAGATCACCGTGATCGTCTAATCTACATAACTCCCAACATTTCGCGTCTACGCGCAAGACCGTTCCTTGGCGAGCTCATCGAGAAGAACAGGTGCGACGGTCCTGGTTTTCATTTCGACATGTCTCCTACCAGCCGAGAGGTCTTCTATGGAATCCATCCACTAGGCTTTGCGCCCGTTCCGTTTCGTTCGCCGTGTCTTGGAAGAAACGACGCCACGATCCGCTGCTCCGTATGGCGGTCGCCGACAGTCATGGAGAGGCGTCCCATGCGAATCACATCATTGTTTAGCGGAGTGCGATTGCGGTCAACAAAAATTGCAATTGCAGCGCCGCAAAAGGTAGCAAGCGTCGCTAAAAGCTGTGTAACGAAAATGATTGTCGATCCCTGGTCCGTGTCACCTGAAGCTGTCGATGCTCTCGCCGCACAATTCTTTGCGGCTTCCCTTTTCCCGTACCTGGGTTTCCTCTACTATCTGGGCCGGGATGAAGTGAAGTGTCCCAAACTCGCGAATTTTGGCTTTCGCTTCCTGTTGGTATTCGTTTTCGCAACGATCCCGGCGGGAATATATGCCAAGGTTCACTACCACGATATCCTCGCAAACATTGACTGGTTGCATGGCGGGGCAGAGTCACTTCTCACAATTACAAACTTACTCATCGTCCTTGGTTTTCGCGGCGCCATGACACCAAACGTGATCGACGCCGTACCAACTGAATCTGCAAAGACAGAAGAATCCCCTATGCGAATGAATTCTACCATTGTCCCAGCACTCATCACGTCCCTTGGCAGTTTCTTGTCTCTCGCCGCGCTCGGCAGCCTGCATGTGGAACCAGCGAACGCCTTATCGTTTCCGACTTGGGTGATACATGTATCCAGCCTTGTTGAATGGCTAGTTGCAATGGGCCTAGTCTGGAAATATGCTGAGGTCACGGATAACCCCGCATGGAAGGGACTAACGTGGGGCATGTTGCCATTGCACACCAGCGGAATCTGTGCTTGCACGTATCACTTGTTCTACAACGCACCAAGTTTAAATATACTCGTTGCACTGCAGGCAGCGCTCACATTCTTCGGAAATGGCACTCTCGTGGCAGCGGCGTACAGAATATCCCGGAGTGAGAAGAAGACAATGGCCGCTCACAAAAGCGTTTCCAGCCAGAGTGAAAAGAGGAACATATCATTGGTTGGGTTCGAAGATCTAGCGGTGCAGTTGCAACAGGACTCCAACGCGAAGTTTTTGTTGAAACTCTTCGGGATTTCATGCGTTGGATCAGCTCTTGTGAAATGGGGTTCGCTGGCCATTGATGCGCCATTTGAACCTACGCTTGCGCTGAGTCTAAGTATTATTGTGATCCCGACGGTTTTGAATATGGCGAAATGGGCTGTTCGGAGCAACAAAGAGATGTCGGACTTCGGAGGCTTCTTATAGATTTGCATTCGTCTTTGTCAGTTGTCCACGGGTGACATGAAGGCTTTCTTCTTCTTTCAACGTGTATCGGAGTTGAAATGCATGAACCTATGGTTACGACGCTCTACATGTCTGGCTCTCGGCTTTTTTCTCCCGGTACGAAGCATTGTTCCACAGCCACGGTGTGGCGCGTGCACCCTGCGTGACCGATAGCTTTAATTTGCTCTGCAATCGCAATAGCCGAAGATCTAGTCTACGGACGCAACGGTAATCACAAGCTGCTTATCTCCAGTTTTGAATCGAAGAGTGTGTGACCAGTTTGGCATTACGTTAATGGCATTTCCATGCTCATAAACGCAAACTACATCCCACCAGAAGTATTCCGTTTTTGAGACGCGACACCTCCATGGATACGAACCAAAAACTTTGACAATGATATTTGATATCGTCTCATGAACAAGTGCAGGGTAAGATCTTTGTGTCGTTCTGGTCTGTTGAAGAGCCCTGAAGACTCCGCAAGGCGGGGTAGTTTCCGCAATGCCTTGTTTAAAACTACTATACTGTAGATGAATGATTCAGGCCTATCGAGGCCGAACTGGAGCGGATAGGCCATCTGCCCTTCAAGTAACCTCGCTGTCGAACCCGATCAGAAGGGTCCTCGCGAACTCTTTCTTGTCATGATGTCATGCCCAGTAGTAGCTCAGCATGTATGTTTTCTGGCGATTCATTATCCGACTGCAATGGCAGTGTCCTGAACTATGCTACACTAGCTAGGCATAGGCGTGAAAAAAAACAAGGCTGTTGCTATATTCACGGATATATCAAGAGTGCCTTAGTTAACCTCCTTCTTCAAACTTACCGTGACAACACCATGAGGTGTTGCAGTTTCTTCGGGCAAGAAGCGGAGTCCGTCCACATAAGCATCAATGCTACATGGTCTATCCATTGACAGATCAGGCCTCTGCTGTATCTATGTTTGAAGAAATGGTCTTCGGATATCGGAGAAAGACGTACGTCTCGTGCCTCTTCCTAACTTTGAATGTGCGTACACTACTGTAGATCGATACCTCTGAAGAGCATTTTGAAGTGGGGATAAGCCCAAAGACGCAAGTCAGAATTGCATTGAAGATAAACATCTCGTTAATGTTTTCGGAAGCCTTAATATTAAGAGCCCGTTGTTAGACTGCCAGCAGTTGCGAAAGGTGAGGGCTACGAAATAGGAAAGTCTCATTCGAGGTTGTCCTCCGTACAGGCGATTTCTGGACTTTTGAGTTGTACTAAACAAAGCGTGTAGGATGCCAGTGCGAAGGATATCGAGTAATAATACCACTAGTTTGAGTTTGCAAAACGCTCCGGGCAAGGCCTGAGGGAACACAACTGATGCGATGTGCATCACCAAAACTCCCCACCCGCCCAAGTTGCACTGCAGGCACAGTACAACACGCCCGAATTTTACGCGAGGAGGTGAGTCAATGACTACTGCACGTGCGGTATCTTTGCTCTGCTACTCCGTGTCCGCATTCGCTAATCATGTGTGCTACCGGTTCTAGTGAGAATTCTGCAGGGGAGCAGACTTTGTGCAAAATTTTCGTCTCTATCGTATGTACGTATTCTTCAATCGACATTGCACTGCCACAACGTACAGTGCCGTGCTGCACGGTACGTGCTTTCAATAAAGAGCAGAGCTTTCCCGTTTCTGTCTGATTTGCGACGCCTGCTTCTTTGGCATCGGGATCGCGACTGTCTTGCGAAAGAGTATTTGAAAGAGACGGCATACGGTTGAGGGACACGTCATGTAAGACCCAGGACATGGTTTTGGTCTACGTCCTGTTTCTTGTGCTCCCCCGACTCTTCACACTTTCTTAAACGACACTTGAGCACTCACACCCTACGCTTGAGGGCATGACGCGCCCAAGTCGGAGGGCTTCTCCTGTCATGGGTTCCCGTCCGTTGACCCAGCACGAGCAATTTTATACGTACTCGTACAGTTGGTGGTGTCCGCTGCCAACCAGATGGCTTCGCGCTACAGCGCACACCGTCAGAGAATCATTCTAGCCAATTGTGACATTTGATACAGGAAGGCGCAAAATTTCGGACCGTAAGATTTATCTGTCGTGATGATCACGTGTCGGACTCATTCTATAAATGTTAATTGGCATGCTTCTGCTTCGCGCGAGGGTCTTTTTCTTCTTCTTCTCATGTCAGAGATACTCAGGAGCGATTAATATCAAAGTGCACGTGAACGACATGTGCGCGGAGCATCGCAAAGGACCGGCCATACTGATTTTGTGCCACTCGGCTGCTACAGTATGCCGAGGCCTGGTCCTGCATGGATAAGATTAGCTGTCACATTGAACGCAGACGAGACTCGAGAGAAGCGTACGGTACGGTATAAACATGTCAGAGTACTGCTAGAATAGCAGCAAGTCTCGTCGCATGTGATGTCTCCTGTTCCCCAGTTAACTCGACGTGGTCCCCGAAAAGGTTTTCTCTGGTGATGCTAAAAATCTCAAGGTATGCAGCGATGATAAATCTGTGTTTAAAATGATCCCTAAGACTTGGAAAATAGTGCGGTCTTAGCTCTCTCTCGTGGCGGAGAGATCATGATGTCTTCTTCAGACGTGCAAGTTCTAATCATTTCGAAGCTTAAACCCTGGAGTAGCCTTGCGAACAATTCTACAGTCACTTAGAATGTTACACGTACGCTGGGAGTACAGTATCAAGTGTAATGGGTTTCAGGTCTATAAACATCGTGAGGAACTACGCACACGCACCTTGTGCTAGGTGCATCCCAGGGGTGCTGCACTGTACAGTCTTGGATTCCATCAAAATATATAGATATATATTTCACAGCATAATATCTTCCTTGAGAAGAGTGTGGCAAATCAATATAGCGACACTGATGGGGCCTCCACGGAGGCACCTGGGCACGTCAAAGGCGTAATCCGTTTCTACAACGTCATGCAGGATCGCTCCATTGGTCTCCGTATCTTCAAGAGAGTGGCACCTGAAGGTCTATACTGTACGTAAAAGCAAACCGCGAGGAGCATATGGCTGTACCTCAACGCTGCCAATCTCTATATTGCTGTCGTTGAAATCCAGAATAGATGTCCGATAGAATGACATTTCCAGTGGGCCGGGAAGCTGAGAAAAACTTTAGACTTGAAAAGAAGCTTATGGCAGAGACTGAAGACGAGAAGCTGTTGTCAGGTTTGATGATGTGTACTTTAGATTTGGATCTTGCCGCGATAGTGTGCTACTGTACTGTACTGTACTGTACGTGGACAAGGCCTCTGGCTGCTCCCTGCAAGCAAGTCCGGGCTGCACACATACGGACATGAAATGTGGAGGTTTGCGTGAGAGAAAGGACACTTTCGCGTTCCGTGCAGCAATGAAGGAGGAGGGGCAAAATGTGCAAGGAGGTAGCAAGAGGAAACGGAGAGATAAAGGATGACGCTGCAAGGCTATAATCGTCGTTTTAGTGAATATGAAGTACAGTATGGATTATGAATAAACCGGGTTCTCCCTGGTTAAACAGGGTGTAGACGTTTTAAATACAGTGCACTGGACAGTACTGTATACTGTACCGAAGTACTCACGGAGCAGGAGGGATGTGTTTTAGGCGGGAAACGAAAGAAACCAGGTTTTTGGGCAGGGGGATGAGGCAGGCGGGATCGAGGATGTGTATCGATATTTTTTTGGAAACAAACACATAGTCAAGGATCTCGTGTAAAGCGGCTTTGCGTAGGTCTCTCAACAAAGGGTGTAGTCTTGGTGGGTTTGTCGCCCACGCAGGGGATGGCGGAATTGATTGTGTGACTGACACCGATGAGCGAGAAATTGTGAGATCGAATGGACTTGGGGCATTTGGAAAAATGTTTCAACCTATCGCCCAACAAGTTGGGAGTGGTTAGTGGTGCGGGTGGCAGAAAACACAATCACTTGCAGAAAATGGCCCTGGCATAACATGAAAAACAAGGGGTGGGACGTGAAAGAAGGGCACGCAGAAGGGCACGCAGAAGGGCACGGAGAAGGGTACGCAGAAGGGTACGCAGTGGACCGGCGATGCACATCCAGCAGCCAAGTGAGTGCAGCACAGAATATTATAATCTTGGGCATTTTCTTGAGCTTATGATGTAGGGCACTCAACCCTTATTTTAGTACCCCCAACTGTGCGGTGCTACTGATGACGGGGAAAAACACGTCTACACTACGCACTGCGCAGCATATGTGCTCGCCGCCGGCCACAACCATGCTTTAAAGCCAACGCCGTGCACTCGTTGTTTTCCACCTTCCCATATGATACTCAATTTGGAATATAGGCCTGTCGAACGAAACAGTCATGCTGCTGGTTGCCCGAACCGTAATGATGTGGTCAAAAGCTTTGGCGCCCTCTTTTCAAGGGCCTTGTATTTTAGAGCGAGCGCGTTGTTGAGCACTACGTGTTCGAGAGTAAGTGGGGATTCCTCTGCCCTGACTTGGTGCGAGAAATTGTTGCAGGGAGGGGACGAACGCCACCTCCCCGGCGCCAAAGGTACAGACTGGAGGAGCTTACACTCTTGCAAGTGAATGTACAATTATACAGTCGTGGCGATGAACAGACTGTCGAGTTGACGTCGTTGCCCTTTATCAGGGAGGGGCAACGCGCTAGGGTCTGTGCGTGCCCAATCACTATTAGTAGAAAGGAACAAGATGCACTGCTCTTTGTTTGAAGGCACTGTAATGCACTTGGGTAAAGGCTAGGGATCTTATTGACGCATTTTAAAAACCTTCAGGAGGGATCTGGTGCAGAAAAGGACGCATTTACTAATATTATGATATGGGGCGAAACCCGTCTCGTTTTCATGATGTCCAAACGAGTGGTTTGCGTGAATCCGTCCCTTAATGTCACCATTTATCGCCATTCTTCTGCTGGTTCGTTAAAAATGAGAGGAGGCCCCCTTACGGCATAGCTACCAGGCCTTGCCACGTGTCCCATGAATCCAATGCCATCGTAATTCTGCATCCTGAATTGCTATTGCCTGCGGCATGGATGAGATGCGTGAAAAGTGAACAGCATGCTAACGAGAGCATCGGATAACGGTAGCTCTAACCTGACGACTAATAGCCCATTCGCACTCATATACATCCCCACGATTGCCACTTTCCCCCGTTTTGCAAAGGAATGACGGTTCCATTCGCGATGCTCAAAATTTCTCTCGTAGCGCGCTTCGAATTCGATAGATGCGTGCTCCCAGGGCATGGGCATGGGCAGAACGGCGCAGGAAGAAACCCTGCCAGTGGTGTGCACGTGGCAGTGCTGCGCCTAGTGGGCATTAGGGTTCTCGGCACCCCGACCCATTTGCTTTCTTACGATTTCCTATAGCCCAACGGCCAATATTCATGCCGAGTTCAAGGTAAACAGCAGATCAAACATCTCCGGGATCATAATTCTGCAGTAGAACTTGTGCTGTACGGTACATTGCTTGAAAATATTCATGCAATATATCGTTTTCAGAAATGTCTTGGAGACCTGGCCATGAGTTGGTGCGCAGACAAAGCCCCTGGTATATAATTAAGAATTATAGCCCGATTATCATAAACATGTCTCATGTCCAGACATGGTGGCAATAATCTTTGATTGCAGAGAAATAAAGGCATGCGTGATATAATGCCTTACTTGAATTTGATTACAGAATCAGCCTTCTGCTTTGTCCATACTGTATTGCTTTCTAAAAACACATGCGGGCAAAATTGTTATTCCTCCCAAACTGATTTCTGCATATGCTCCTGGTGCACAGTTTCAGTCGTGATAAAGATCACCCCTACTCTTTTGCCCCTCTTCTAAGGTCCTCTTTGTTTTTCAAGCTCTCACTTTCCGCCGCCCTCTCTCACCCTGCGCTGCCCTTCTCACCCGCACTTCAGCACTGCCACATGTTCGAAAACCACCCCCTCTCCATACTGCTTAGAATCGGCCTCCACGCCACCATGAGCAGAGCACTTGAAAACCCCACGAAGAGCCCTGCGACAATCCACTCATTTCGAAAGCCGTGTCACTTTCCTCAGTTCCCAAAATTTTTCTAGCAAATCTGCCAGACGCTCCATGCTGTACCTCTACCGGGTACAGTACTACCAGTCGCCGGGCTTTATATCTTTGCAGTATCACCTGTCTTTCTGCCTCCACCGGAAGCGGTTTGTGCCATGCGATGCAGTGCAGCGTCACGGGCATGAAGTTTTTCTTCGCAACCGTGCTCTCATTCACACTTCTTCCGACACACCACCCGACACCGCTGCCCGCGCCCTAAATTGGGTCTCTATGAAACAATAAACAGACCCTATCGTCCTTGATGTCCAAGATTCGCGTTGTTTGCGGGTCGATAATTAGGAGCCCTCACAATCAAACGTATGGGGAAACTGAACATCTCACGCTTTGACTGGTCACGACGCAGCTTGCATGACACTGCCCACACTTCTTACCACTGTTCGTTCTTAACGTGTTAGCTACCACTGCCTAAAATGCATTTTAACTTCAACAAACATTATCCATTGCTGGCCATTCCCATACAGCGTATCGGGCAACCATCCTCTTTGTGCACCTTCGCTGTCTTGTGCAGCAAAGGGATTCCTGCACCTGACGACGTCACTTTACTTCAGAGACTTGACCAAGCCTGAAGCAACACCGACTGAAGGGGGATCAAGTGTAATTATTCGATTTCAGATATTGCCCTCATTGTCGCCGGGCAGTCGCACTTGTCTCATGCCGCGTAAGTGTGACACTTTCGTCGCCTGTATTCACAAAACAGGACTCTTCGGTGTGGCCTTCCTTTTAGTTACCGCTGAGGACACCAACTATGGAAGAGCGACTGTGGGCTTCATGTGGCTTGTGCAAACACAAGCGCTCCAAGCGCTCCCCTTAGGGAATGAGTTGCAAGTTGTGACTCTCTTAAGAGTCACAACTTGCAACTCATTCCCAGGCGTATTGCACATCTAATACGTATGGCAACATTTAATCGAACAGTGGCTTTTAGAAGCTCTTGTTTCATAGTGGCGACAGTACTGAAGTGGGACATACCGACGTCTAATGGAAAATCCTGATTTATCGTGAAAGAAGTGTTGTCTGTTCCTTGTGCTATGTGCTATATCTGAGTGAATCAATATATTTACTTCTCAGGCAACTTTGAATACAACACAACACTGTACCCGACCACTCTCACAATTTTCTATCACGTGACTGTTGAAAACGGAAACTGCTATTTCTGACATATTAATAGTGGCCAAGACGCTTCAAATTAGAGCTTTTGTGTTGATCTTGAAAAGCAATGCAATCCTGATACCGTACAGCATAAGAAACGTTCCGAGCCAAAACTGTGAATCAGTGGACGTGCAGTAAATTGAGAATGTGTACGTTTCAAGGCCTCGAGTTAACCATCTGACCTACCCTCGACGTATACCATACAATACAGCTATTTTGCGAATGTGGAGAGGGCCGTAGTCCAAGGGGGCCCTCCGGGTCTTTCCCTGTCATAAATTTGGTGTTTCTGGAAGTATTATGGCCAGTATGACCTAAAGTCACTCTCGTCCAAGGCGAAAGCAGAACGAAAACCACTATATAGGCGGCTGTCTGATTATGTTAATTTAAACTAATTTAAACGACAACAGCTTTTAATTGATACCGAATTTCTCCGCACCCAATATCTACTATCTTCTGGTATCTCTTCTGTGTCGTCCTGTTCAGTTCGGTACGGTAGGTCGGTACGATTGGATTAATGCAGTGAATGTCGTGTGGATAAAGAGGTCAGTGTATCGAAAAGTTGATGTACTCAAGCCTGAAAAGTTGAGTCTGCAAAGTGGTTCCTCTATTCATACCTCATGCGTTGTAGTCTATAGAGTTTATTCGGAGTGACTTTATTGCTACCATGTTTAGTGGAAATGGGTAGTAGAGTGGTGCACTTAAAGATGAATAAAGAATTTCAGGGGAAAGGTCCCGCTCTTGGTATGTAGCAATACTTTATGGCATCAAGATAAAATACTGATGGAGAGCAGGTTGGGACCATACCAGCCACTCTGATGAGTGAATATCATGATCAAGAAAAATACATCGCAAAATGAAACTAAGGCTGAAAGGATGTCACAATCAATGTCTAGGGAATTGTGCAAAAGCAAACATACCGTAGAAGCAGGACCCGGCTGCTGGACCGCACTCTTTGTGTTGACTTTCCATTGCCCTTCCATGAAGAGTTGAAAAACTGATCCGTTTTCTCTATTAACGCTCTCCCTATAATTTTGCTTTGAACGTTTATTCGTGCCCCATGACTGGTAAGGATGATTCCTAATCGTATTTTTTCTATAGACGATGTGATCTTGTCATTATCCTCATATGCACGACTTGGTCATTCCTGTAGTGCTTCGTACCTTGCCTCTACGAAAGCTCGTTTTGGATCAGGAAGTCTCGCTAAGCTGGAATAAAATTCAAACCATCTCGCATTTAAATAAAGTCAACTCTCGGATACGGAGAAGTATGAACAGATGAGAAGTAGCTCTGTTGGAATATTTCACTTATTGATTAAGCCCAAGCCCTGCAGACTGAGTGCAATTTTTTTCAAGATTCATTGCTGCAGATAACCCTGCCGCATGGTAAAACTAACTCTACGATTTCTCTCTTTTCTTGTCCAGAACTGATTCAAAAACTCTCAACAATTTCACTATGTAAAATTAGTCCACGAGAGAGCTTTTCTATGAAAGCGGATACTAGTTTTCTGAATTTACTTGTAGAGAAAATTACATGAAACTCTAGTGTCTACTCTAGCTGTCGATAAAGAATTGTTACAACCACGCCCACCCGAAAACTTTTTGTTCATTAGACACGCATACATGTAACAGGGCAACAGTAAAATCAACAATCGAAATGTGCCTATAGCCGTTTGTCTTCCGTACGGATTCTTCTACATGAAAGAAGGCTTTTTCCGGCTTGAATAGTCATTTTCTAATCCGTTTTAATGAAACTGTGCGGCTAGAGTCAAAGCAAATGCAAAAATACATTGTTCGCCCTCTAGCGTCTAAACTGGCGACTGGTCTCAGATTATCTGGGCTAATTTTGCAAATGTCGGCTTCCCAAACTAAAAAGGTTTACGACTTCCAGAAGAAAGAATGTTTCCCGCGATTTTAAGCAATTCAGATGTCCTGCTAAACCAGATTTTTTAGAACTGATGATTCAACGACTTCGCATCTCGAATTATATGACATATTGCTCTGACGAGTAGCTTCTTCACATTTACAAATTGCGTAACTTCAACAGTGAAGGGTTAGTAATTCTTGAATTCAAGTAAGGTCTCATTGTTTTCCATACTCTAGCTTGCAAGAAGAAATTTTTTCCCTGCCGTAACCATCAAACTACCCGAAGGGTATTACATGAGACACGGAAACTTGATATATATTCAAGGATGCTCGTTCTCCTATACTGTAGCTGCGGCGGTGCAACTGATGGCTCGAATGAAAAAGTGTACATCTATAGTATGCATTCGGCATGCAGTGCTCTACGGTCCCGTAAAAAGAAAATTTCCGCATATGCTTTCGAAGTACATCATCTTCCTCCTTTGCAGAACAACTTCTTTGCCTTACAAATTCTCAACAGCAAGTATGTATTCATCAACAATTGTCACTACCGTAATAGCCTTGGCTCACGTGGACTTAGTTCCTATGGTCTGTAGATACCCCTGACTGCTTTTCGACCTCGCGACATATTCTCGTAAAATTCAAAGAAACTTTGGCAACAATGGAAAAATACTACCACACACGGAGGGCATATCATCAGACAAGGCTCTCCAGACTTTGCATTCCAGTCATTGAGGCTTTGTTGAGGCCCCAGAACGTGCATAAAACGCATCTTTATGATCGCATTTATGCTAGACCAACGCGACACCGTGACATTGCAGCGAGACTCTATTGCTCCAGCGCCAACTGTTCTGAAAATCTACATGGCTCGCGAAGGCATTAACAGCCCAAACACAGGAGTTGGCGGTGTCTTGCCATCGCTTTTCGACAAAGTGGGTTCGCAGGTGTTGCCAATTACGAGTTCGAATATATCCTTTCTTAGTGGCCTCGTCCACACTTGTCTGAACGTTTAGTCATCTGTTGTTGATCATGGCAAGAAGTAGTGTTGTCAAGGTTTCTCTTCGAGCGTGGTTTCCGGTGTACTGTAGTACACATGTACTGTACCAAGGGTACTGTAGTGATTTGTACAGTATTGCTCCAATCTATTTACTCGCACAAATTCTGCGTTTGCTTGCGTACTGCATCAGGTTGAATTGGGGGGAGAAAGGGCGGCACGCCTCGCTGTCCGTTTCGGATGGCTACGTTGAATAATTTTGGCATGGTACAGTATCACTACTCCGGCAGGAGACATACTACATAATTCCAAGGATAGCGGACAGAACGGTGATGCGAAGGACGAATAGCAGTGACTGATGCCACACGCTTGCAAAGATCATTCTTCACTCTGTGAACTGTACTGCGACCGAACTCCAGTGCAGCCCAGATTATCTCGGGCCATCCAGCAGTTTCCATACCAACGAAAGACAGCTAACGAGACCTAAAACTATAATGGCGCAGCACTTTTTGTATAAAGCGAAAACGTACGTGGGAGATACTGTGGAGGATAGATAGGCTTTATATGATAACATACATTCGTATGGGAGGGTATCAACGATTCGATAGCTATGGACGGGTATATTTGGCAGATGAGGGAAAAAGGTCTATAAGGCTTTGTGCCAAGCTGTGCACAAGATAGTCGGTACGACATCGGAAACACTGCCAACTGTTTTGATATGCCGACAGCAGCGGTGCAGAGATCAGCCCAAGTTGTCAACGCCAGCGATACGCCGAAAAGCGTTCCATTCCTGCCAGCAATCTCTCCATGACGCACCTTGCACCTATGTAGCTTTATGGCACAATCGCGACCCTACCGCAAGCAAATAAATCAATTCTGGCTGTCGATAGTCTCGTTGTCGACTGTAAAAATCAGTATCGCCCCAATTTTGAGACTTCAGCACTTAATGATCGCGACGTGTTTGTTCTGCATTCGATCGGCCTGAATAATGTGCACTGGGGAAGCTAAGGTCTTCCTCGGCGATGTCGGAAACTTCTACGATACTGTACATGGATCAATACAGAGGGGAGGATGCTTACAACTTTAGGGACGGCGATAGGCGATTCGAAAATGGTGTCTTAAGCGGTGTAGGAGATGAGTTGATTGGTATCGGCATTCCCGAGAAAACGGATGGAAAAAGCATGGGAAGTGTATTCGCTGGTATGTGTATTTGCGAAGGACGGATGAAAATGACAAGGACAAGCGCGAGAGGTCGGGAGACGGGTGGGCAAAGGGCAATTGTATGATGCCATTATGTTGAAGTTTGAAGGAGAAAACTCGATCTTCAGCGTGTGCAGAAATACAGTCGAGTTAGTTTGAGAAAAGAGTGTACTGCACCCTTGGGTACTGTACACTCGGTGCTGTATAATACAGAGATAGGTTAATATCATGTGAGGCATGGAAACCCCCGGAGGCTGAATCGGGAGGACCTGTACAATTTTGCAAGGCTAGGTCGAAGGAGAGATGTCGCGACGTGTGTATGCTAGTGTGCTACTAGCTAGAAAGGGTGAGAAATGGTTGCAAGAAAAGGAATGGAAACAGGGGATTCACATGCCTCGCGCATCGTGGCTAGATAAGGATATAGTACGGGGCGGCAGGTAAAGTTAAACGTGTGTGGGGCTCCGCACGGTGTGCCAGAGAAGGAACTC